CTAAATTCAAATGTTTTTGATAAAAGTGTAAATTACTTTTAAATTGTAGGTTTACCACCATATTTTCTACACATTATGTGTATAAATTGTTTCTGTAACCTCTATAGAAAGTTTAAATTTTCTTATTCTTGAATTACGAGTAGCTATATTTATCGATTGAAAAATTTAATCTATTTGATATCTTCTTTGAAAAGTCGTTTTTCAATTTCCTAGTAGATAGGTAGTTAAGCCGATCGCAAGGAAGAACTATCGACAAACTCTGAAGAAATTGAGAAAATAACCAACACTGTTTAAGTAGAGTTCTTCAAAGAAATGTGATGATATATCATTGTCTATACAGAATGTACATTTATATTATTGATACTCTTCTATGTTATTTAGAATTGAAAGAAGGGAAACGAATGCATATCGCTAGGTCTGGTATTTTATAATTATTATGGATAAGAAAAATATTATATTACCTAATTGTTTATTATTTTTTCAATGATGTTTGATATAAATTCTAATTTTATTTTATAGGTAAGCTCATTTAAAATAACATATTAATAATCGAAACTTAATACACATAACCAGAATAAGTGCACTAAGTAATCGTATATATTTAAAATCTACTTTATTTTATGTTTCAAAAATAATTTTCATAAACATTCATCAGAATGAAGCGTTTATGTATAAAAAATACCTAATGTGTTTATAACATAATTATAGTGTAATCATAAATTTGAATTTTGTATGCTTGTACAGAAAACAATTTGAAGTATTGTATGCGTAAATGTTCACCAATTTCGCTTCAAAAAATAACTTTTAAATATAATTAAATGTGTATTAGATTTATGACGAAAACGTAACTTTAAATATCTTTAGCGAGCTTAATGTAGCTTAAAATAATTATAATCATATTAAAATCAAATTTGTTTTGAAGGAAAACGTATATACTAATTGAATTTTATAAAACAATTTTCTTAACTATCAATATTAATCTTCTAGGAAAAAAATCTTTCTCTGTCAATTGCTTAACTTATTTAAAGTAGTATTTTAAAACTGAAATGTGTATTAAACACGAATTGGTGATTTTTAATATCTAGTATAATTTATTCATTATAAACATTTTAAGTTAGGTGAAATGGAGATTAAATTTTAAAATACTTAATACGAGTACAGCTAGTAAAACTATAATATAATATTAATACATATATGATAAACCATTAATATTGTTCTTAATTTCTAAACGAATATAATTATTGTCTAATACAATCAATAATTAATGAAAGGGCGCCATAAAAAACACACACTTAACTAACGAAGTCACGTCTCAGAGTCAATAGAATTTAATATATTCAAATTTATACTATTATCACAATTAACACGTTTGTAATGCTGTATATATAGTAAACTGTGAAGAATACAATTTATCTAATAACGTCTAAACTAGTCATTTCTGTTTTAATTTTTTTTTTAAATTGTAAGTGCCTAAAAATTTACGATTCAATTTTTAATCATTACCAGACCACAATGATACAATATATATTTTAATATAGATATTAGATATAGTATAATATTATTACCTGTTTTAATAGGTGGGTGGTGGGATTTAAAATACAAATAACTAAAATATAGGAATGATATTATTATTATTATTTGTTCATTATAATATTATTATAATAATATATATTACTATATATTTTCTCGGTACAATTTAACGACTTTTGGACCACAGAAATAATTTATTTAAAAAAAAACACATAGATAATATTAATTTCAAATGAGACTTAAAGCATTGTTTGGGAAATAATAAAAATAATAATATATCGCTAAATTGATAGAATTATTTCTATAAGATCAATGTTATTAATAAATGTTAATGGCCCTAGGGGCCCTTAAAATACCGAGCTCCTATACTCAAGATCCATTAGTCCCCCTTGTGGGGATCCTGGTTATTATTACAATTTACAACTGCAATATTAGAATTCATACAAACGAAAATTGCATATGACTAAAATTGACTTATAATACCATATTCTACAGAATTTAGTAAATTTATGTCTTATTTAATTTATTTGCTTACAAATATTAGGTTCTATATATTTTGAATCATTAAGAAGGTACTTTATTTTAACGTCAGTTTCTTTTTTGTAATTTCGAAATGAATTATAGACATAGCCATTATGTAACAATAAAAAGTATTTTGGTACATTTCATTATTTTGTTTTCTTAATATTTAGGCAACAAAATACTTCCTGATTGGTTTTTAAGTCATTTACAATTTTTATTTTTATTTTATAAATTTTAAAATAGTTATTTTTAGTTATTTTATTATTATTTTAATTCAATAATATTATGTAATTAATAATTTATTATTATCATATTGCTGTATATTATTTTATGAAGGACAATTTAATTTAATATTATTTATTTAACACACACATACATATAATTTCAAATCTTATAATAACACAATTTCAGCATAAATGTATAGTAGAACAATTTTATTATTATTTTTTTTTTTAATTGTGCTGCCAAGTTCAAGGAATTTGTAAATACATTATATAACATTAATTTATATAACTTGTGTTTTTATAAATACACTTCATAATATTATAATATAGAGTATGAGAATATAATTCCAATTTTTTTCCATTAAGAATTTATTATTTTTTTAAACATTGCTGTTCGTCCGAAAAGTAAATTAGCTCATACATGTTTTGTGCATAAACATAAACTACTTACCAAAAAAGAAATAAAATATGTTTTTATAACTAGTTTTTTTCATGACGTAAACATATAAATTATCATAGAAACTATTTATCTTTTTTGCTATACAGAATAAGTAATATGTTAAGTATAACATATAAGTTTAAAAAATGAATGCAATGTAAAGTGAATAGATAAAAAAAAAAAAAAAAAATTAAGCAGAGTAAACGTACTAAAATTCAACTGTCAGAACTTTTTATATTATAGAATGAAAAAAAAAAATGTTATATTTTCTACGTTTTGCGGTAAATTGATTGAAACCAAAAATAATACTTTTATAAAGTTATTATTTATTTTTTTACACTTTGCTACTGGAAATGACATTTGGTTTTTGAAAAATACTATTAGTCACAAAATTGTCATACTGACTGCTGCTAGGTAAAAAGAGTTCTAAAATGTATACTTCATTACTATATCATATATATGGATAGATCTATCGTGTATGTATACAATTGTGAATAAATGTATTAAATATAAAAAAATATAAATCGTTTTAATAACATTTATTTACACCACGATTGAAAGTTCCGCAATAATTGTATTGTAAGCAAATACATTAGTAATGCAAAAGAATTTTCCAATAAGTGAAGTCTTTTGCGAATGAAATATTAATTTTCTCGGCATGAGTAAACCTATTGTGTCACCCGACAGTTTGTTTCGGAGTCTAATATAAAGAAACCATTCACAATTGTATACAACGACGATATAAATATACATGGTGATTCAACTTGCAAGTCTACTACCCTTTTATTCTAAAATAATGCATTTATTCAATTTCCTTATGGCTTATGGAACTTTTAAGTATCTAAATCACCTATAAGAGATATATTTTTTTGAACATTTTAATATGTTTAAGTAAAATTTTTAATGAATAGTTTCTGAAATATTAAAATATATATAATACAATTGATAGTTGTTAACATTTTACAAATATATTGAATATATTTTATACTGAATCTAGTATTTTCTATAAATGGTTAATTTTTGAAAACTATAAGATGTTGATAAACTTATGCGTTAATCATCATAGCTCTCATGTCTTTCAAATAAATATTTTTATGGAACAATTGCCATTATAATACTTAAAAATTACAAAAATCAAAATCAAAATAAATGCGTAATTTACTGAAAAAAATAGCTGAATCACCATGAACCATCCTGTATATATAATATAATATTAGTCATGCATTAACAAATATATATATATATATATATTAGATAAAATATAATATATGTTACAACGCGGAAACTAATCAAATCAACCCAACATTGGTCACAGGTTTAACCAGCACAACAAATTATTATTACGTTATTTAAATCAATACAATTGTTGCAAACTGTGAGCATGAGCAACGTATGTACCATAACTATTATATTTTATATATAGATTATAGACGATATACGAGTAGCATATATAGATGTATACGTAAATCCACGTTCGGCGCATACAAAGCATGCGAATGAATATCGCGTAATAACTAATAAGATGTTATATGTTATATCCTTATATTCATTTGATTAAATACGCATTACCACCTCTATTTTAAAACTATAATTAATTCAAATTTTAATTTTTAAAATTTTAAATTATTCTTGATAAATCATATTTAATTACTTAAAAGTAAATAGGGGGAGGGGGAATTTATAGTTCGTGAATCATTTTGACTAGGTATAATAATATCATATAATAGGTATAGAGAAAAAGGAAATTGACGGATGTAACTAATATTACATCAATGGAAGCTCCTGATTTATGGTCAGTACACAATAATTGTAGTGATATATATATATATATATTTTGCATCATACCCAGTACCCACACTACCTCTATTCATAGTATATAATAGTTATATCACTAACTAAAATTAGCTATAAAAAAAATTCGATTTATCGTGTCGTTATTTCGTTGTAACAATGTACATACAGTTAGTTTACACAACAGAAATAATACCGCGGGTTATATTTTATACCATTACTTTGAAGAGGTATCACAAAATCCTGGGTTTGTGCCGATTCCGATGGGTTAGTGATTAAGTATTAACAATTTGGAAGGACGATGTATTGCGCTCAAATTCGATTATTTATACATTCCGGTCGCGCTGCATCGTCGGTTATATCGCGATCAAATAATACTACCCATACACCTAATATGTCCTCCACAAAATATAGAGTACCTACCTAATATTAAATTATTACATATTTGTCCGTATTTATATTTTAGCGTAAACATAAAACAACCGTGTACTTACAAAATAAATTCCTATAAACAACACGATGCTAGTCAGGATACCGCATCCCGCACACACCAACACCACCATATGAAAAACCACTGTAGCTGAAACATAATAATGAAAACAATTCATATATTTTATGCTTATTTAACGGTTCTTAGCAAGTAACAACACAACATCTATATACCAGAAATGCTTATAATTCAGACAAGGTGCGGGGTGTACATACATTATAATATATGTGAGTTGTGGCGTAGCTAATCATTCGAGTAGTACGTTTATAATATCTGTGTATGCACATTTTAGGTCCATCGAGGTAGGTAGGTGGAAATGCATGTAAATATTATACATGGAGTTCATTATTCTATAGTTATTTTTAAATGAGTGGCGAAAATTTTTTGGATGATTTTTTTACATTATTTTACCAAGCTAGTAAATGTTTTGTATACGAATATACATATAAAGTGTATATTTTTTCTTAGAAATATCATTAGTTATTCTTAATAGAATATACAATCGTAAGTGTGATAACATAGTATATTGAATTATTAACGAATAAATTATCTTTACTTGCATCAATGGAAAACCGCTTAACAGCACTACCATTCAAGGAAATTATCATTTATTATTTAAATAGATCTTTTAGCAAATTACTTTTGAGTGTTCTAAGGACAATTTAGATAGTGACGAGGAAGATAAATATTATAAATTCTAATTACAAGTTGCTATAATTATCCGAGTTTAATATTTACTTTGGAATTAGCCATGTTGAGTTTTAAAAAATTAAATTACATTTGGTAATTTTAAGCCTTTATGAAGATTTTTATTAGTGAAATACTACGGTGGTTGGTGACAGTTAACTATATCAGGCAAATAGACTGAAACGACTGGAGAGTATTATTATAGAAAGGTTTTGTCACATTCTAGAATTGAGTTTTGTATATGCAAAGAAGTCAAATTATTGATTTATATATTGTGAGTTTATTTGATTGGGAAATTTTCAATTTCGATATTACTCTTAGCCTCTCAGAGAATAAATGCATAAAAACATTTAGAAAAATTTCACCAAAAATTACAGAAACGGTTTCTACAATATGACAAAAAATGTCATATTTTTTAATTTACTGGTCTTAGTATAAATTATTCGTTTATATTCTTAATTATTCATACAAGTATATTTTGTTATTAACAACAATAATATTATTATAAAAAAAAAAAACAAAATAATGTATTTAATTTAAAAGTAATTTCAATTTAAAGACTTTTTAATACGCTATTAAAATATTTAATAAAAACATTAAAATTATGAAATTGTTTTATTTTCGTGGTTGTATGTTCATTTCAAAACTTTAAAATAAATTTAATGCAATTAATACTATATTAAGCCACAGATAAATAATCAAAATATTCAGTACATGATTTTTGTTTTAGTAAAATTAGCAAATATTAATATAATATATTATTCAAAGTTTTCATTTTAAATCAGCATAATATTAAAATTTATAATATTTAACGATATAATGGAACTAATGGACAACTTCGTTTCAATCCTAGAGCCGACAGGAATACACAAACTAATTTATAATAAACACAAATACTTGACACAAAGCTAATGGCTCTTAAAGCCAAAGCTACGTGTTTGATAAAAATAAAATAAAAAATAAAATAAAATACGAAAAGAATAGAAAAGAAAATGTATTCTCAATAAAAGAGAAATAAAAAAAAAAAAATCATAAGCTTTTGTCTATTATTTTAATTCAAGTAAAAACAACCAAATGAATTAAAATCATATTTATAACGATTGAGTTAAATCTAATATTGAAATAAAACTATTAAAATATTTTTATTTTTTTTAATGTTTTTATATACATAAAAAACAAAACAAATAGACTGTAAGTTTTTTGAAATTAAAGTTAAATATATAAGCACAATAAATTGATAAATCATATTAAACTTAAATTTAATAATATATGAGTTGTAAACACAAAGTAACAATAGTTTCAATAAAATATATGTGCACTATAATTATAATGTGATTAAATATTGCTTACTTTCTGAAATTTTTTCCGGTTCTAGGAAACTTTTGCTCTGTGGAGCGGTTCCATTCCCAGTCCAATATGGTCTTTCGAGATGTATAAATGATCCCAGTATGCTAGTATTTAAACTAAAATATGCCTGAAACATAAAAGAAAAATTATTAAGGGCATCGTAGTTTTTATTTTAAACAGAAATATTATATTTATGTTATAACCAACATAAATTCTAAAATAATTACTATTAGATCTCATTGAATATTATATTTTTATTCATATATTTTATACAATAATTTAACGAATCATAATATTTATTAATATTTTATCGTGACAAAATGTTGAATAATTAATAACGTTTATAGATTTTAAATACTTATACATATAATTCCTGTGTAATATGGATTAATATTTAACAATTAAAAAATTATTACATAAAAAAAACTTCGTTAAACCGTTTAACCACGGATTATCTTATTATATAATTTTGTTTAATAATATACGGCTTAATAACACGGTATGCTACATAAACTACCTCATAGTCTACAAATATTATTTTCAGTACTGCAATAATTCCACAAACAACCAATCTGATACACGATTACGAACAGGCAGCTTATATTGTATACATGCTTTAATTAAAAAACTTTCCATCTATACGTCCATGTATAATTTGTGTATAATGTATATGTTAACTAAATGATTTTATTCTATGAACATTGAGATTTAAGATCTGGAAGATCATTGTCGAATACTTTGAGTTTACTGAATTCGAAATAAAACCGTCGATAGACGAAAAACAGTATCAAATATAAAGTAAAACACAGTATTTGTATTTTTGTAAATCAGTAATAGAGGGACTTTAAACTTGAAACAGCAATAAACCATTGCATTTGTGAAGCCATTTTGAGCAGAGTCAGGTTTGTTCTAAAATTATCAAATTTTTGTTAAATACGAGTCCATACTGACATCTATTTTTGTTTTGAAGGGTTACATTGAATGATACATACTGCTAAATTCAAAGTATTACTTATGTACAATCCAATGATAAGTTTGATTTCTTATCTAAAATGGTTAAAAACTTTTTTAGCTTTTTTACAGCACTGAAAAGCTTTTACAGAAAAAACCACACATCATTGTAATCTCTGAGATCCTATTTCGATTCAACTAAATCGAAAATTTACGAGTCTTTTTGAGGAAAGTGTAAGTGCGACCGACAATCCTTATTAGCTTAGTTATTACGTAAAGGAATCATAAACTTAAATTAGAAAAATATATAAAATCCAACAGTTTTGATAAAAAAAATAAAAATAAAATAGTATATTAAAATTACAGTATATATGGCGTCGAATTATTCATGTAATATGGTATATTATAATATAACTAGGTAAAAAAATATTAGCAAGAGAACAAACATGGTCTCAACATTTTTTTTCTTGCCTACTTAGTACTTACCCATAGAATGGATTTCTAAACTAATTACAGTTCTAATATAAAATAATAATAGGTACAGTAAAATAGTTTTGTCTAATAATATAAAAATACTTAAAAGTATTTTGTATTAAGGATTTTTACTGAAAAATTAATTGAATTATATTTTATTAATTATAACTTATGATTTATATTATATTAGACTTATCTACAAACTGTTAATCAATAAGTATTATATATAATATATAGTTATTATATTATAGAATTGTGTACCTATTATATCAGGTATTTTAAGATGAGTTTCTTGTAAATTGCATTGTAAGAAGTTATGGTTTAGCATGTATATACATGAATATTAAAAAAAAAAATAATACGTGCTTACTACTTTTTAAATGCAACTGTTCAAAGATAAATTCAACTACTGACAACATTTTTCATGAATGAATCAAATTAAAAAAACGTAAACGTACAGTATTCTAAATAATTATGTTTATATATGAATACAAAATAGTTGGATATTTATGGAGACACATCAAAGTTATATATTCGATACCTACAGCTTACAGGCTATTAAAAAATACTTTTCTGTGAATTTATATCCAAACAAAAACGAAAATCACTAATATAATACAACAATGTGAACTAAAAAAGGGTTGAAAGCTTTTTATAGATTTAACGAAATTATTTAGTCAAATAGCACGTAAGTGAATAATGCGAATACTCGTTTATAAAACACACAATGCTTTATCTACATATTTTAATGACGTGATCAGTAAAAAAAAAAATAAAAAAAATTACATTTAACATCATCGAAAAATATCAATTTACGATAATTTTAATTTTGAAATATTTATGTTATCTAATATTAGATGTGTAGTTGTTAGTAAGTATTTGAAAACCTATAATTAACAAATTAATAAAAAAAAATATTTCTGTATAAATAAGAAAATTTTTCAACTTCATCCAAGTTATCAAAATGTAATGTAATGCATGTTATGCTTATTTTGATATTGTTTTAAGTGTTTACACAGTATTTCATCAGGGATGTATCTCACTTTGGGAATTTAAGCAGAAAAATAAAATAATATTTTATTTTTTATTGCTGCAACAGAATTTATTTATGTTTAGTCAGAAACTTATTTATCTTATTATTTTTATGTACATTTTTAATTTACAATAATTGAAAATAAAAAAAATTTCGTCTTTTTTATTAACATGAATTATTTGAAAAAAAAAATAAAATACGTAGTATATGTATACTTCTTATTAAACAGATAAAGCTCTTTTCTTTTTTTTACAAACAAAAATGAAAATTCATAACCAATTAAATACGAAAATATATTTATGAAACATTTTAAAATTACCAATAATAGAAGGATTGACATTAAAAATTGTATTAACAAAAGAATTACTGAAACAATTTCAAATTTTAAATATACAATTTTTCTTTTATTTCCATTTCCAAAGTTACTTTGTTATTTTGATTGTTAAAACGCAAACAATATATAAATGCATTTTGTGCACGCAACACATTTTCCCAGCGTTAGCTTTGATGGGTGCAAGCTAATTTTAGATATATTAATTTAGTTATTATTTTTAATTTAGCGAGTCACGAGTAAAATAAATTATAAATTGTTATAAGTAAAATACGAATTCAGAATAATACACGCCAATTAAATATGCGTCTTACATACTATACCTATATTTTCAGACGGGGAATTCAAATTATTTTGTTATGCTGAATCTTATTTGAAGAAAAGTACTAAAAGTGTTCTGAGAAACCCATGAAAAGTTTTCAAAAAATATTGATCATTAGTCTACTTTTTGGTATAATTGGGTGTGAAATATATATTTTTATTACTTTTACATGTAACATATAATATAAATAATATACATTTTATTATTACTGCCATAAAAAAAAAAAAATAAATAACAACATGCAAATTATTTAAAATCGACTAAATATTTTCAGTTACAATAACTGTGGTAAAACATGTTGAAAATATGTGTATATTAATTTATATTAAATAATGAGACTTCCATAAAGGGAAATCAATCAAACCAGCAATTGATTAATTAAATAATTAACAAATGACAATACTGTAACATTGAAATTTCCACTTTCAAAATTAATTAAATCACAAAGTTACCATTTAAGAGATCAGTAAAATTGTAACATTTTGTCTAAACAATAAATAATTATTATTTATTTGATAAAAAAATCAAAATTTTTCGTTATTGTTTAGTTAAAAAAAAATGTGATCAGACATGGGATAAATACAAGCGTTGTTAACCGATATATTAACAATATACGAAGTTGAGATTATTTATTTGTTCCACTACGTTTATAAATCTTCTGTTTTAGAAGATAACAATGGTTTTAACGGTATTTTTTCGGAAATATTTTATGTATATATATATTAATAGTGTAATATAAAGTACTAAGTGAAGGGAGAAAGCTATTTTTATTTCCAGAAAGCAATACTGGAATTGATATAATTCAAGTACTACAAAAAATATGTTTAGACATAATTTAAGATACAATCAATTTTATCTATAAAGAAATAGTTATTTTTAAAAGGTAAATGTTATAAAATTATTTAATTGACAATACGTAATATATACTACTAGATATTATCTAATTTATGAGTTTAAGTAATAGACTTCTAAAAATGTATGGAATATTATTTGAGTTTTCACTTAGTGTTATTAAATTTTAATAATTAATTTAAAAATAGTCATAGGGCAGTACATTTTCATTTAAATTATTACATTTTTGGTTGGGACTTTATAACTTATAATTATCAATAAGCCTCGATTTGAAGATAAAATAAAATAACTTTATGTTTATTTTAATTATAAAAATCAGAAAACCGATTATTTATAACAAATAATAATTATTGTATTTTTTTTTTCTACACTTTTTTTGTTGACAATTAAAATCAATAATATTTTCATTTAATTTGATATAAATTATATAACCAACACAAATAGTTAAAAAAAACGCTGTTCCATCATATTTGTTTAGAAGCACATTTTAAATTATAAACCGGAGAAATTGGTTTAATAATGTTAATTTATTTTTGTGTACACTTTTTTTTTATTTATTCAAGCTTCTTTCAAAAATATTTTATATCATTGAGCTGAGTTGTTAGGATAAAGTCACATACAAAATATCTACATATTGAAGAAATACAAACAATAAATTGTATTTTGTACGAAATTTTTTTTTTATTTTGCCAGTTATTTTTTTTAAAATCTTGAAAAAAATTTAGCAAATCGACAATTTCGTGTTTCAAAAAAAAAAAAACATGAACGACATACATTTAAACATTTTATGATTATACTTCAGAGAATATAAAAGTTGTAATTCATTATCTAGTCTACTTTTTCTTTGATGAATCAATTAACGAAATTATTTATACCGATTTTAATTCTGATGGATTATTGGGGCGTGATATTGTTTTAATCATCACTCAATATATTATATTGTGTGATATAAAAACGCTTTTATAATTATATGTATACATGTCATGTATATTATGTATGTATACCTACCATGCATGTATATTATATGCACTAATATCCAACTAATAGATTATGGCGAGCTTTGTACTAACAGAAATTACATAATAATATGTTATAGATATTTTTTATATTTACCTATATATACATACACATACAAATTCATATTATGTATATTATATACATATT